GGGCCTCCCCCCCCCCCGCTCTGCCAGTGCCCCTCGGTGCCAGCTTCAGCCCCCTGCTCTGGGCTTCCCCCCCCAGATCTGCCAGTGCCCCTCGGTGCCAGCCTGCAGCCCTCTCCTCCGGGCTTTCCACACCCAGCTCTGCTTGTTCCCTTCAGTGCCAGCCTGCAGCCCCCTGCTCTGGGCTTCCCCCCCCAGCTCTGCCAGTGCCCCTCGGTGCCAGCCTGCAGCCCTCTCCTCCGGGCTTTCCACACCCAGCTCTGCTTGTTCCCTTCAGTGCCAGCCTGCAGCCCCCTGCTCTGGGCTTCCCCCCCCCCCGATCTGCCAGTGCCCCTCGGGGCCAGCCTGCAGCCCTCTGCTCTGGGCTTCCCCCCCCCCCGATCTGCCAGTGCCCCTCGGGGCCAGCCTGCAGCCCTCTGCTCTGGGCTTCCCCCCCCCCCGATCTGCCAGTGCCCCTCGGGGCCAGCCTGCAGCCCTCTGCTCTGGGCTTCCCCCCCCCCCGATCTGCCAGTGCCCCTCGGGGCCAGCCTGCAGCCCTCTGCTCTGGGCTTCCCCCCCCCCCGATCTGCCAGTGCCCCTCGGGGCCAGCCTGCAGCCCTCTGCTCTGGGCTTCCCCCCCCCCCGATCTGCCAGTGCCCCTCGGGGCCAGCCTGCAGCCCTCTGCTCTGGGCTTCCCCCCCCCCCGATCTGCCAGTGCCCCTCGGGGCCAGCCTGCAGCCCTCTGCTCTGGGCTTCCCCCCCCCCCGATCTGCCAGTGCCCCTCGGGGCCAGCCTGCAGCCCTCTGCTCTGGGCTTCCCCCCCCCCCGATCTGCCAGTGCCCCTCGGGGCCAGCCTGCAGCCCTCTGCTCTGGGCTTCCCCCCCCCCCGATCTGCCAGTGCCCCTCGGGGCCAGCCTGCAGCCCTCTGCTCTGGGCTTCCCCCCCCCCCGATCTGCCAGTGCCCCTCGGGGCCAGCCTGCAGCCCTCTGCTCTGGGCTTCCCCCCCCCCCGATCTGCCAGTGCCCCTCGGGGCCAGCCTGCAGCCCTCTGCTCTGGGCTTCCCCCCCCCCCGATCTGCCAGTGCCCCTCGGGGCCAGCCTGCAGCCCTCTGCTCTGGGCTTCCCCCCCCCCCGATCTGCCAGTGCCCCTCGGGGCCAGCCTGCAGCCCTCTGCTCTGGGCTTCCCCCCCCCCCGATCTGCCAGTGCCCCTCGGGGCCAGCCTGCAGCCCTCTGCTCTGGGCTTCCCCCCCCCCCGATCTGCCAGTGCCCCTCGGGGCCAGCCTGCAGCCCTCTGCTCTGGGCTTCCCCCCCCCCCGATCTGCCAGTGCCCCTCGGGGCCAGCCTGCAGCCCTCTGCTCTGGGCTTCCCCCCCCCCCGATCTGCCAGTGCCCCTCGGGGCCAGCCTGCAGCCCTCTGCTCTGGGCTTCCCCCCCCCCCGATCTGCCAGTGCCCCTCGGGGCCAGCCTGCAGCCCTCTGCTCTGGGCTTCCCCCCCCCCCGATCTGCCAGTGCCCCTCGGGGCCAGCCTGCAGCCCTCTGCTCTGGGCTTCCCCCCCCCCCGATCTGCCAGTGCCCCTCGGGGCCAGCCTGCAGCCCTCTGCTCTGGGCTTCCCCCCCCAGATCTGCCAGTGGCCCTCGGTGCCAGCCTGCAGCCCTCTCCTCCAGGCTTTCCACACCCAGCTCTGCCTGTTCCCCTCAGTGCCAGCCTGCAGCCCCCTGCTTTGCACCCTCCATCAGTGCTACTCAATGCCAGTCTGCAGCTCCCTGCTATTCCAATCCTGGGCTCCCCCTCCCCATGTGGTTCTGCCGGTGACACTCAGTCCCAACCTGCAGCCTCCCAGCATCTGTCCCATGCTAGTCTCCAGGGAAATGGGATGACTGCATTGCTCTGTGCTAAGGGTTTAAATACCGGGGAGCAGGGGGGACAGTAGCTAGGATGGGAGTCAGCCATAGCTCCCGATCTCTCCTTGGTCCCCAAGGCCAGTGGCAGGGTGCCAGCTGGCTGCTCTCTGCCCCCCATTCCTGCCAGGTTAGTCACCGGGAGCATGAGATCAGCTGCATTCCTGTGTCTCACATCCTGTCCTGGTCCTTGGGGAGAGGGATTGTTAACCCGCACAGGGCCAGACCCTAGGGATCATGGTGCATTGGTCGGGGAGTCACTGGCCCCCACCCTGTGGCCACGTCCCAGAAGAACTGATTGTTTGGAGGTTGGGGGAAGCGGCCAGGACCCCTGGGGTTCTCTTCCTGGTGGTTGGAGGGGGTTCTAGCGGTTAAGGCAGGGGACTCTGAGCAACAGGACCTCTGGGTTTCATTCCCTGCTCCCCCAGTGACCTGCTGTGTGACCTTAAAGGAGCCTCTTCCTCTCTGTGCCTTATTTTCTCCTTCCACATGCGATCTGTTTAGACAGTGAGCGCTTCAGGACAGGGACGGTGTCTCCCTGGGTCTGTGCTGTGTCTGGCACAACGGGGTCCCTCGCTCCACGGGGTCTCCGAGCAGTAGCGGGAGGTAACTCTGGCGCTCTGGCTCCGCGGGGCAGCGGGACGGGAGCCGGACATGCTCTCACTCTCTGCACTGGGCCCAGCCCTGCCAGTTTCGCTGGTAGGCGCTTTCAGTTCCTGCTTCTGACCAAAGGCGTCTGCTGCGCGTCAGGAATGTACACCCCCGCAGCCCACTCGGAGCGAGGGAAACCACCAGCTGGGGGTGGAACCAGGAGGCAGGACCCCAGCCCCCTCTACTTGAACCCACCTGACCCCACTCCTTAACTAGAGCTAGGGTGGGATGGTCCAGGGGCCTTGGCCCCCGCCCCTGCTCTAACACAATAGGCCCCCCTCCCTCCTTCCAAAGCTGAGAACAGAATACAGTTCTGAGTCCCACTTAGCTGGCCACTTCCATTCTCCACACTAGGGCATCTTCCAGCCGCTTACGGGGAGGGGAGACTGTAGAGTCTCAGCAGGGGTGGGTGGGGGAGTCAGGCTTAGTCTCTGTTCAAAGAGCAAGGGGCTCTGCGGTACTGCAGGAAGAGAGGTCGCAGCCAGATTGCAGGGGGATACGCCTGGGTTGGGCTGGGGGGTCCTATTCTAACCTGGGGGGGGG